GAGTGTGGTGTCAAAAGCGATGAAAACAGGCTAGTATGTATGAAACGAGTAATGAAAGTGGAAGATAAAGATACGAAATATTTCAAATATAACGTAAAAAAACCATATTGCATTACATAAAAATCATTTAACAAACATACAAATAAAGTAAAACAAATGGCGACTTTTGTGCTTAAAAGCGATCCACTCAACCGCATATGGAAATTAAACAAAGAGAACAATTCGGGCAGTGCGTTTGTGCAAAAGGTTTTGAGCATCATCACAACAATAAAATATATTTAGGTATACGTTACATCTTATTTTTCTTGTTCAATAAATTTCCAAGACAGTACCATTGTAAGATACATGCCTTCAATCTTGAAGAACACCGACTTATTTTCATATAATTACGAAGAAATCATTGAGTAAGGTTTTTCAAAGAACTCGCCAGGTGCTGGAGGTTAAAATTTTAAGTTAATAATAATAACGGTTATATAAATTGTTTTTTGTAGAACTATTTGCGAACGGTGCATGAATATCGAGTGAAATTAACCCGGACAGTATTCAAAACCGCAGCCGGATACTGCGCGGACACTGTTAAGTTAGGACAAATCCGATAAACCTCAGGTATAAGGCATATAGAAATATTTTTTATATATCTTTTGTTTAATAGATTATCAGGCGTTAGTTTGCGGAAGTCCATTACTATAACCGTAAAATTATGACATCTAGCAACTTCCACACCAAGTAGTATCCGAAAGACCTGCCGTGTACCGCCCGCATATAAATTTACATGTACAAACGGCCACAGTTGTTAGACCTTACACCATAATTGTCTTAAACCCGAAAGTTTCAGTTTCAGGATAATTATGCCGATAAACTTTTTTGTTTGTGTGATTTATTTTAAATAAATTAGTAACCAGAAATTAGATTATATTTCCGTTTTCCATTACATAGAATTCCCATTACATATTCCATGAAATTTAGTTCATCATTTAACAATCAACGATTTCGGCGAATACGTTAATTTATAATTTTAGCCGGAATATTTGACAATATTGAGGAAAAATCCGTCCCTTGTTTTATAACTAATAAAGTAACCTTTCTCTTTGAAATTGACAAGTCCTGCAAATTCTTTAATTCATGGAAAAAATCTAGGGGCTCTTATCACTAAAATTTTGTTGATGAAGGAGTATGATATTTAGTAGAGATAAAGTTTATATGGAGAATAGTACGTCATCATAATAACCGGACAACCAATGTGCCCACTGCTGGGCAAAGAACTTCTTATGGACAGAAATGAATGGGAGAATGGTACTAGACCCACTTCGCAAGTCCAGTGCAGATTGGTGAGGTACTAACATACATTTTTGGTCACCCATCCTGTGACTGCCTTCGCAAAAGTTGCTTAACTTCTCCATCGCAGACCACTGCGCCATCGATTTTAAGAAGTGCACAATGTTAATATTTTTGCAATAAAGCTTAAAATATATTTTATCTATACCAATATTATAAATAGGAAATATTAGATTGTTTGTACTGATTGGGCCCCGAAATTACTGGACCGATTTTAAAAATTCATTCACATACGTGTAGTTACATTAAACACGGGAAAACAGCAATTTATATTTAAATTGTAAAACGTTTTAAAAATATTAATCAATATCGATGTTTAATTTTACTAATCCCAGTTAAAAATCGAAACGTATTTCAAAAGAGTCAGTAAAAATTCAAATTGAATTCTCCAATCAGTAAAACATTTAAATATAAATCAAAAGAGTAATCGATTCTGATGAATCAATTTGGCAACTAAAGCTTTACATGTATTTACCTTTTTTTGCGTCTCATTGGATTTTAATTCGATATGCAACACGCGCATTTTTTCAATTAAAACCGGGATTTAGCCGATTCTCGATGAAGCTTTTATTTTTATTTGCATATCTATTACGCTATCCTAAATATTTATTAGATACCAACAGTTTACAGGCGATTTCGCCTGCTTAAAAGTATGTTTTTTTTATATCGGTCTAGTAATTTAGAAACCTATTCTATCTTTCCTTTTTATAATACTAGTAAAGACAAGCGGTTACACTCGATCTTGACTGTGTACTTAAAAGGAGATTTAAGTTATTTTCACGTAGAAAATCTTCTGTCATTGGGACTGTGCTGTACTGAGTAACTAACACTTGAAAATAAGACCTAGTTTTTATGTGAATCAACATTATAACTTATTGTCAAAGTCAAATCAGGTTATTAAGACTAAAATAAGAATTAAAATATAATTTACATACTTTTCAGTCTTTTAAATTGTTTTCTAATTTGCAATAATATTTGCCAATGAAAGTATTTTTCATTATTATTTGCTTGAAATTTTTAATTACTATTTGCTTTGTGCTTAAATTTAATTATTATCTCATATTCGTCTTTGGGTCACTTGACAAATTTACAGGCATAAACAGGAGTTTAATTTTTTTTTAAATTTAGTGTTAGCTTTTTAATATCCTGTCTACTTGGGCACAGACCCTGCAATTGGCTATTGAATTGAATAGGGAGAATGGACCATGTACAACCACCAGGGCTGCAAGGGGTGCTGTGCAACTTTTCCCTGTTCTGGGGGGGGGGGGGAGAACAATTCTTGCAACTTTTTCAGTGCGGTTTGGTGGATGTTCATATTTACAGATGCCCCCAAGCAACAACTCGGTAATCGAAAAATGAAAATTTTACAGGAAAAAAGATTTACTGATTTAAACGAATATCTTTTTAACGAATGGGTCTATTGGAGTCACTGATGTATCAAATGAAAGCTAATTTTTTGCGTAATGTAACTGTGCTATTAATATGAATACTCATTTATTCAAAACCTAGTTATTTGTGAAAAATCATAATACTTAAAATGTTATACGTAAAATATTACAGTTATAATGCTTACGGGGTTATTGCAGTAAATTTGTAGAATAAAATATTTCGTAACATTCCGTTATGGACTTCTACGGCGTTATTTTTTGTTGAAGGGATGGTGCATAATATGTTTTTACGGAGTTATTGTGGTAATATTTTGTATTGTGGTAAACAGTATTGATAAATAACATGATTACTGCTAGGAAATTTCGAACAAAAGTGTTTTTGTTACCACTCAATACAATTTTTCTTCTTAAGTGTAATTTTAGAAGATATAAACGAAAAATATACAAATTTAGGCGATATTTAATTAACTACAGAATGAAATTTGACCCTCAATTTAACACAAACATTTGTCGATGAATATAATCCAAAAAATAAATACTGTGATCAACTATTAAGCATATAAAATTAAAATTTATTCATCTTCAGATACATTTTCGTCCTCAGCTTCTGAACAGGACAAAGATTGGTAGAATGCATGGTAACTCTGAGGAATAGCTTCAGTTTTATACAAACTCAAAAGGTCGGTGTGCAAAAGCTTTACTTAAAGGTATCGGTTGTTGGCATGCACGTTGCAAATGCACATTATCCAAGTACACAGCTAAGCCTGTACTCGAGGGGAAGCTGTTATGCTTTCGCCCTTGTCGTCTAGCTGAGGTTGAATGAGTATAATTTAAATCAAGTTCTGAATAAGGGTCTTCAAAATTATATTTGAAAAATAACTTATTTGGTTGTGAATCCACAACATTGACCTCCATGACGTCAGTCCAATAAATCACATTTCTAACTTTGTCGCACCGCCAATAGTTGTCTTCTACAAGTGGTTTTAATCGTAAATTTCGAATTGTTCTTATTCTTTGACACGGTATTTTTCATCAGTAATCTTTGAATTTAAGAAATATTAAAAATTCGGTAAGGGTATAAAACTCAATTTTTAAATTTATTTCTATGCGTGCATGCATTGAATCTCCCTGGTTTTGACTGTGTTCACTTTCAAAAAAAACAATGATTAATCGAAATTCCAAATAGTTTGGCAGCCTATATATAAAGGGCAAAAATATAGCGATTTATGTTCTGCCCAAGATCCACCCGAATATAATGAATATTTTATAATACCTTCCTTACATATAGTTTTAAAAAAAGACAACAAAGCACTTCCCATTTCTCAATTACCGCTCTTAGCATTTTGGTAGTTCCATGCGTAATAATACCCTATTTTTCGGACGGTATTAAAGACAATAAAATTGTAACAGTGATATTTCTCTTGTGGAATATGCCAACTTCTGATTGAGGCACACTCAACACTTTTTGTAAGTCAAATATTGCAACTGACTCACAAGCATTGTCGGCTCTTTTTATCTCTCCTTTTTTAAGGCTCTTATTTTTTCTTTTCTCTCTAAATGGAGTTGTTGTTGTGTAAACCATTCAGTGTTAATACGATAATATTGAAGTTTTCTGAAAGATATTCTCGGTTTAAAGTTGCCCTAGTATAATGCGACTGTACTTTAGGAAATAATTCAATGTGCTTTAATAGTGGCTTTTGTTATACTTATTTTATTAGACCTATTATTATGTCTCTCCCGCATATCTTGAAGTCCCTCATCTACATGCATAGTTTCTTCTATTGCTGTATAAACCATATAATCGGCTTGATCCACTGGCCCTGCGTAGAGATATTGCTTCATTGTGCATCTTCTATCGCATCTATTATGGGAAATGCTCCGAGGAATTGTTCGGACTCATACCTGCTGCTACTTTCCGCCATCGTTCCACGCGACAAGAAATCCACGCCCATCATTTGGATGGTTGGAAGTCCACAACTGTGCGTTTTTCTAGAAGTTTCCTGCCTCGCACAGTCAAACTCTGGAACAGTTTGTCGCCAGCGGTATTTCCGGACCGATACGACCTTTAAACTTTCAAGCATAGAGCATATTCGTCCCTCAAAGGCCGGCAGCGCGCTTGTAGCCCCTCTGGTGTTGCAGGTGTCCATGGGCGACGGTAATCAAAAGTAGTCAAAAATTTGCGTGGCCTTGTTTTTACGGTCTAACGTCATTCGTTTAATAGTTCGTGCCTTAACATATCTACTAATATACAACCATTGATGTTCGTGATCAGTCAAACTATAGCTTGTCTATATGACTGACTGAATTTTTGGCTACAACCTTTTCTATATCAGATTCACTATTTTCTATGTATTCTATATTGATTAATAGATTATGAGCAACCTCGACCATATCCTCATGATTACTTTCTATTGCCTCATTATGCCAGGAATTGTTTAAAGTTCTACGAGCCAGTGTTTTATCAGTGTTACTTTCTGACTGTTCTTCTGGTTTTAATGTTTCATTTTTTTCTTCTTTGCTACTTATCTGTCGTATTAAGCTTGGACTATAGTCATTAATTTCCTAATCTTTAATTTTACTATTGTTTAGAGTTCTATCAGTAAATGATTTATTGTTATTAATTTCTGACGATGCTTCTGGTTTTAACGTGTCATCTAGAACTCCTTGTTTGCTTAATATACTTCCTACGTTTGGAATTGAATGATTTTCCTTTTGAATACCTGGTTGAGATAAATCTGAGTTTACTATGTATATTTCTGATAAAGAAGCCACGAAATCTGCGTTGATTAAATACAATGATAGATTTGAAATTATTGATGGAGTGCTAATTTAGAATAAATTTACCTTATTGAAATGTAGCGTATAATCATGAAAAAACACTAAACTTAAATAACATTGTAAATATATATTACGGAATACGTTTATTTAAATTCGTTCAACAACAACCCCTTATTGACGTTTGCCAAAAAATTCCTTAAAATTATATACGCCAATAACCCGGTAAACGCAACTTACCAAAATAAAATATAAATATTTTTTTTGTACAGACCTAAAGCAGGGTTTTTGACGTCATATTTTTTATTCAAAATTCCCAACAATAAAATTGTATATCATTATATCTTTGTAAATATCATTAGGAAAAATCTAAAAAAAATTGCCAAGGTGTATTCCAGTCCACAGATGCCAAATATGCCATAACAGCATAAACCCCATAATATCACATTACCGAGTTATTGTTTGGGGGGATCGAGATGAAACCGAGACCGAGGATCGCATATCGAACGCTACCAACTGCTAAAAAGATGTGGTAGACTTTAAAATTAGCGATTATGCGTATCTAAATACACAAAAAATAATAACACTTATTACCCTTATAATACAGATAGATTTTTTCTGCTATTTAACTTGCATAGTAGAGATGCAGTGTAATCTTGTCATGCTTCCGTGGTTGCTCGCTCAGCAAAACGTCCGCTCGTCTGATTAAATTAACTCCGGCAGCTTGGATAGGGAATTCTACTCGAATGAAAACTCAAACGTACTGAATTACTTTAACAGAGTACACTGAGTGTTATGTTTTACAACATAATCATTTAACCTATGGTTAATTTAATGCACTTCGAAACTTTATATTTTTTACCCGCCGTTTCATAGTATCCATTGAAAAGGTTAACTGCGTAATCGCAAGCCATACGTGTCATATTCTGAGCCATATAATAACTGTCAAAATATATTAGCTATATTTGGAAAGGTAGATAGACTTATTTTATAGTTACCTACCTTTCAGCGAGTTTATATAAACAACTAATCGAATACAATCGAGTTCATGTCCCGGCTGCTAGGGCCCGAGAAGAGGCTATGACCCCGTGACTGTTCTCGTGACTGCGAATGCAGTCGGAACCAACCGCTTAACGTGCCTTCCGAAGCATGGAGGTGCTTCAATAGAATATTTTTTATGACCCAAAAACAGATTCAGTATTCAGATTCTTGTAAAGTAATCGAAACGTCTTAAAACGATCCCTTTAAATAATTTGAATATATTTATATTCAAATTATTAAATTATTTATTTGAATATATTTATATTCAAATTATTTATACAACAGGAAAATACAACAGGATTGATAAAAATAATAAGAAAAATAAATGACCGTTTAGATTTGGTATGTAGCGTATATGGATACTAGGCTCCAAATGCCGTCAATATGTGTAGTATCCAAATATTAATTGTATGTTAAGAGGCGTAGGTATTGGATTGCTCTTCGTTGGCAAGGAAGACTCTAGAATACGAGTTTTTCCTCAAACAGTCGGAACCGTATAATGTACCGGTTAGGGGTAGCCTCCAACCACTTTTCTCTGCTGAGATAGTAAATGAATGAATGAATATTTACTAAAGTACGTGTTCAAACGATTTGACAAATTAAATCTCCTTTCACATTAGTTTGGAAGAGAGCTATGGGCGTCCATTTCGTGTCGGGGTTCCTTCACGGATCTCAACCCAGGATTGGTTTACCTGTAGGTGCTGGTGAGTAAACTTACTTTTTAATAATAAGAAAAGACACTAAGATTAAATTAATATTAGACCTATTTACCATAATGTACAAATAATATTAAAGACTTTCAAAAGAACTGTAACTGTGAAAGTTAAAACAGGCTACCCTCTGTTATGCGATTACCCTTTTTAATTCATTTTATGACAATTAATTCGTTAAATCTCCAAACAATTTATTAATGACAAACTCTCTCGTATAAAAAATAACTCGAAAAAGCTTTAGTGAAATAAACAACAAATCATTGCACGCGACGGTTAATGGCGTCTCGCGGGACAGATCTCGAACGAGCAGCCTTAATTAATTTACGTACTGAGCGACCAAACCACTTAGCTGATTAATTCTACGGAACTACGTATATAGAATGGACACAATAAATATACTCATTGAGTGGCGTTCGAACCTATGGTCATTTAAAAAGTAACAAATCGAATTTCAAATTTATATTCAGATAGTTTATGTATAAAGAGTTCTTAAAATAGTATTTATTCGACAGACTCGATTAAGATCAGTATAAGTAATGCAGGTCTTTCTTTTGTTAGGATCAGTGCGCGAGTAAGCGTTGGTCCGGTGAGGTTTAACCGGTAGGCCAATGAACCAAGCCAATATATACTCAGAAGGTAAATTTTTTAAACGCGGCAAATCCTGGCCACTTAGAGTGATTTAATTGACCCGCTTGACCCGCACTGAGAAAAACAAAGTTCATTCTAATTTACATTGTTTGATTATGAGTATTATACGTTCGGTTATCATCCGAATTTATTATTTATGCCATATAAGCTAAGAGAGCTGTTTTTTTTACATATTTTGTTATGCAATTAATACAGTTCTGCTTACAAATATTTATTTAGCAATCAAACCCAGGACTTTAAAAAACACGTGGTTAGATTTTTTTCTACCATAAAGTCCGGATCTTAAGAATTTGTAAAATATACACTGAAAACCAATTAAAATTTTCTAGTGTTTAAGTTTTAAAAACATATCGGCATTCGTATTACAGAGTCAAAAGAAACAATTATCAAAAATTACTTTGTTACCGGATCGCGCCAGGGGAATATTAAAAATAAATTCATCTGAATGCTGATTAATGAAAAGTAATTAAGCCCGGTGTAGTCAGTAGTACTTGGATAGAATTTCAATAAAGATATTGAAGAAACTACTTAATATTATCTTAACCTTTTTGGAAGCTCATTCTTGTAGTTTATTCCTTGTGAGTACTCTCCGAGTTTCTGAAAGCGGAAATACGATGAATGGTATGAATCTGGTCAATGACATACGCGTGGCATGCAATCGATTTCCGTTCAGTTGGTCAGTCATTTTTATTATAAGTCTCCCTCCGCGTACTAACCACATCGACCAGTGTAAACAACACCTATAACTGTTATGTCATAGAGGTTGGCTACGACAATATTTTTAATAACTTAACCCTAAAAGGAGTGAAATATGTGTGTGAAACTTGTAATCTTGGACGGGTGGCTGGTTATATGTAAATTTATAAAATATTTATTTTTTAAAAAACACTTTAAATTGAAAATATTTTTGCGAAGCTCATAATTTTGAGTAGTTTATTAAAAAAAAAATAACGTTAGCTTATTCAAATGCTATACAAGGAAAAAATAATAATGTACCAATAAATGGATGTCATCTAAAGATATTATTTAAAACAACAAAGATGCTACAGCAACGTTACACTAAGTTATTTAACGTTCGAAGGACAATGAAATGACCTCATTCCTTCAATATTTATCCCCAAGACGGCACCACTGACCCACAATCCGGCCGTAACTTCACTGCGAGAAGGGTTATAACTTATGCAGGGAAAGTAAGTACCCGTTATGGCTTGAGCTACGTAAACAAGTGAGTAGTCATCGGCGAAATGTTTCATTTTATAAGAGGGCATATTTTTTTTTTATATTTCTACAGAAGTTTCGATCATTTTTACTTCAACAATTTTAATACAAAGCATCTAAACCAAAAAGCACTTTCGAATGTTTTTTGAGCAATGAAATAAGGTCGAAATAAGTTGTAAATAAAATACATCATACCTATACATAAAGTTATACATAAAGTTTGGATCAAAATGTGAATTTATAATTTTAATTCTCTAAAGAAAAGAAAAACAAAGTTACCTCTGAAACCAGCATTTAGTCTATTTCTTCTCGTAACTTTACTTTTTTAAGATAGTGAATATTGGTAAATAAATATGCAAGTCACTTTATAGGTGACGGCTTGGGTTGAGAAATGTTATCTTCTTAAAAAAAACACTTTGTCCCTGGTGCCCTAACATGGGATTTGAACCTTTCGCAATTCGGGCGACTGCTCTAACCACTGAGCTACCCAGAACCTTACAGGACTGACGAATCTTTAAAACACTTGTTACTTTTTTTGCTAATTTTTCATTTCATTAAATTTTTCAGTATAGAAATTTATCAAAAATAATTATTTTATTTTATTAATATTATAAAAGCGAAAGTTTGTAAGTTTGAATGTTTGTTACTTCTTCACGCAAAAAAATTGGTATACGGGTAATTCTAAGCGTGGATTATCCCACTAAACAGTTCTCTACGGACCACACGGACGAAGCCGATGGTGGAAAGTTATAATAATGGAAACAGTGGTTTACGATTATCTTAAAAGTGTTTATACTCTATTCGTCATAATACGCCATCCTAATTATGTATCTGTTTCATTAACTAACCATTTCATTTAGCTGCGTTTTCTCTTTATCGCTATACTTTATACACAATAGAATATTTACCTATATCTTCACGCCGTGTCCCTTACGCGTAGGCAGAGCGCCACAAGGCATACATTTTTCGCCTCCTCGACTTTCATTACTCTTTTCATACATTCTCGCCAGTTTTATAGCTTCTGACATCACCATCGAACAGCCCACAAGATAGGCTATTTTTAATTAATTACTCGCTGACTATTACAGTTATTGTAAAAAACCGCAATACCCTCGTTTACAATGTGAAATGCATTTTTATATATTCCCCGTTTAAATGGAATATATTCCCTGCTTAATTAGGAGAATAAATGGAAACAAAAAGTTTTAGGCGTAACTATGTGATTTTTTATTTCTATAGTTAAAGTTTTATGTATTCATGTTTTATTATATGACGTACTTTCTTATTTTTATTGACAGTTAAATGGATGTTATTTCTGTGTACAAAAGTAAATGACTTTTGTTTTTTGAGCCTCTTAACGTGCACGTTACGATTTTAGTTTGAATAGTTAATTATTATTATTAAGCCGTTCGTCCCGACTGCATTTGCAGTCGTTAATACACTCCTATTAGAATTAGGCCAGCGTGAAGGGTCATGGCCCATTCTCCTTAATCCATCCATAAGGAAGGCCTGCGCCCCTGCACCGGGGACGTAAAAAGGCTAATGATAATGATGACAATTATAAAAACGGATAATTACGATTTTCTAACTATATCAAGATTCTTATCATCTGATACGAATGTGTAATAATTTAATTGAAGTGTTTAACTTCGCTACAGTTTACATTTTGGGCTTGATCAAAATCGTCTCCCAATAGACAGGCCCGAGCCGAGAGGCTTCCAACTGCACAACAGTTAATTAAATTCTATCTACCCGCCGGCCGGCACACAAAACTGAGGCGGACGACCACCTAAATAATATCATTGCTTCTGTTAATATATAACCGAGTAATCATCCTTTGCTAGCGGCACCGAGACCCTTCAGAGGAAAATACGTGAAATAAATTGAGTAGACGTAAAAAACTTTTTTCTGATGCTCAAGTAGATTATCTAACATCCTTTTTTACTAACGTAGAACAAGGCATAGCTTAACTAATCCGGAAACGCCTAATCTACGAATCGCCTAAGGAGATTAATCGGCACGACGACTAACTTTTGTTTGTTTGTCCGTAAAGTAGATTGTTGGAAAATATTCAATACGATGTTTTTTATTTTTTTCGTAATCATTAAATTACGGCGATGCTTTGAGTTAAAATGTTACATGTCGTCACGCTTTTGCACTTTTTGTACAAAACTGTGACAAAACGAGCCTCTACTCCTTAACTTTAATGCCTGTTATCTAAGATATTCCTTGTTAAATTGAAGATTTTACCTTTTATTCCTTAACACATTTGTGACCTGTTATACTACCCAATGACATTTTTCTAATGTTATTAGCTAGTTCCTAGTCAATGGTTAAATGCTTTTCTATGTTAAGCGATTCCTAAATATTTAGGTGACAGGTTTGAGCAACACCCAAGTTTAGTGAAAACGGGCATAAGACATTGGTGAGCGTATTGCTCATCATCATCATTATGGCCTCCTTCTCTCTTCTCTTTTGGAATCTTGTGCACATCTCATCTAGTCTCGATCTTCGTGCCAACTGATCATCCAGTCATCATTACGGTTAATCTATGATAAATGTAGATGTACAACATAATTACTGCAAAACAGAAAAAAATACACATACAAATATTCAGGAGGATAACACTTAGGTTAGAGTATCATATAGAGTATCATACATCAGCAAAATCAAGTAATGGGAAAAGAAGGGACTGCGCAAGATAAATTTTGCCATATTTTAACATTAGACGCTACACATTAATTTAATTGCCTATACATTATTTATAACGCATCGAAGTACCAAAAGGCCAAAAGGTGGCTAATAGCCAAAATCAAATTAAAAAATAAAATATCTATCTGTTATATTTTAAAAGATAGAGCGCAAGAAATAAACCGTAGTAAAAATGCATAATTTTGAAATGAGACTGTTGATTTACTAATTTAAATCAGAGACCAAATTTCGCTAAAACTAATTTTCAATATATTGTAAACGCCATCATCATCATCATCATCATCATCAGCCGGAAGACGTCCACTGCTCTCCCAACGCCATCATACTTTTTCATAACCTTGGTGTTTATTTACTATTTTACTACTACTACTACTATTTATTATATTAAGACCTAGTGGAGCCGGCAAACTCAAACCCAAGAAATTTGAATGTAAAAATATATAAACTTCTTGGTTCCACCTAGCAGTTAATGAATAAGCAAATTTTGGATTTAGCGATATTAAAATAAACATAAAAAATAAATTCGTTAACTGTCAGTTGCATTTTATTATGAAAAATCACTAATTATTTTTGTTAATAAAATGTAATATTTCGATACTTATTATTCAATACCCGGCGAAGACAAATCCAAAAACACAAATATAATAAAAATCGTTCCAGCCGTCCTCCAGTTATAAATGGTGTAACTAACACGAATTTCTTTCATCTATAGATAAGTTACTTGGTAATTTGTTACTATAACAAAGCACTTTAAAAGCATGTTACTATTTTAGGTCCTTCACATTGCGCCGCTGCCACCAGGTGTTCCAGCACTTGACCTCCACGCTAAGTACTGATTAATGTGTATCCTTAGTAAATTAGTACTAACACATACTGAAATTTAACCGTTAAAATACCGTTGCACATTTCTATCATAAGCCCTTGTACAATACTGATATACGATCATCGATTATTTTGTTATTTAGCAGCAATTATAAAAGGGTAACTTGAATACACAAAGTGTCACCTAAAAACTATGCTAATTAGCATACCTGAGCGCAGTCTGGCGAAAGCGTTGATTGTGTGCGTTTATGTACTTAACTATAACTATACTAATATTACAACTATTTAATCTATACTAATAGTATAAAGCTGAAGATTTTGTTTGTTTGTTTGAACACGCTAATTTCAAGAACTACTGGTTCGTATTGAAAAATTATTTTTGTGTTGAATAGACCATTTATCGATGAAGGCTTTAGGCTATATAACATCACGCTGCAACTATTAAGAGCGAAGAAATAATGGAAATTGCGGCCGAAGTCGCTGGCGGCCACTAGTCATTTTAAATGTGTGTTATGCGAAACTGTAGAAACAACATAAGTAAATCATCTATAGACCAAGATCACATTTCATTCGTAAGTATAAATTTTTAACTGATTTGCGTTTTAATCAGAAAAATAAATAGTGTCATTAAAAGAAAGATAAAATACTCCGGTTACAAATTGTGAAATTGATCTATCAAAGATAATGTAACAGAACGGAAAAATCGACTTTAGTGCCTACGCTCTATCTTATATTTATTTGAAAATCTATATGGAGACTGAAACTCTAAAACTCCGGGGTTTGAATTCGGAGCATCGAAACCTAACTCTGGAGATAAAAGAATACTCCGATTCAAATTTCGATCGAAGCCCTCGTGTTATTATACATATTATATATCAGTTTCAGGTTTATTTCATCGCTTCAAAAGCTTAATTATTTATACATGGGAAAATAATATATAGACGGCAAGGATATATAATAATGTACGACATCAACATTTTTAAGTTGAACTATTGATCGAAGCCTTTAACTCGTGTAGGTAAAAATAGGCATTAAACATGCATTAAATCATTATATAGTCTACGACTAACTATAGAGTATCGTGTGTGTATATAATTCCCTGGTACAAAGAGAGTCGAGTTACACCAAGGCATAACTTTTCAGGATACTCTTCTAAAGTTTGACAAATCGGGAAAAAAGTGGATGACTGACTTACACCTATAAAGATAAGAATAGAATAAATTATCCATGCCTCATATAATACTAATAACATCAATGAGATTGTATATTTATTTCTTCTTCTTGGTCATGTTTTTTAGTGATGAATTGCTCGGTGGCATAGTGGATTATCGCCGTGGACCGCGATCGTTATTGTTAAGCAACTATCGCAAGGGTTGGTCACGGGATGGGTGACTAAAAATTATTATCTCGAGCTACTCAGTGCTTCGAAGGGCACGTAAAGCCATTGGTCTCGGCTGCGTTTATAATCGTTAATACCATCCGATCCGCATTATGCCAGCGTGGAGGGTCATGACCC